GCCTCATGGTCCTTAGGGCTTTGCTAGTCACATTCTTTGCTACATTATCGGTCAGCTCTATCGGATCCTGAAGAAGGCAATGCGTGTAAATAAATAGGAAATACTCTGTAAGTTTAGATCCAATTCCCACAAACTTATGTAAGAAAGCGAGTTACACTCAAAATATGTATCACCTGCACGAAGAGCACGGATATTGGCTTGGAATTCATTTGCTCTTTCAGCTCAGCCAACGGTATCAGAGCTCCTCTTCTCGGTGAGAAAACCAATTTATCTAGCTGATTTTCCACGCAAGATACAAAAAATTTCTGAAAATTTTGCTGGAAAGTAATATGCTAGCGCAGATGGGAAGAGTAGCATACCTTGAAGAGATTTCGTAAGTCAACTTCTGCAAGAGTAAACGGAGGAATGACAAAATCGACTCTGATGGCATTAGCATATTCCTAGAATAATTGAAATAACTAAATAAAAGTTTTGGAATATTGAAAAATTATTAGTATAAAAGCTAAAATAAAAATGCAAATTGGCCAATTCTCAAACGTACAGGAGTTTGCGAATGAGTGAAAACTGGTAATAATCCCTCCGCTTGTAAAAAGGTTATGAACATTAGGGTTATGGTGTATGAATTGAGGTTCCACGTCTATAAATACTCTTTTATTACAAACTGGGCTTTCATCTCACAAAAACTACCAAACCTACCTTCTTCTTTTCCGAACTGAACACTCCATTAGACATTGCCCAAAGACGTAAGCTGAGGATTATTTTGCGAAGTAGTCCAGACTGATCACCTTGGACCAATGCTCCCAAATATGCAGACTTCTGATATCCTATGCTGTTGTCTACAGATAATTCCACGAGCTGTAAGACCATCAATAAGTAAATTTAAACAAGTATTCAAGTAGAACTCACATGTGTGTCATATGCCCGAAATCGTATCACTGGGCAACGTGCATCCGCAACTACATATAAGCTCTTGAAAAAGCCACACTTTTCTCTTCTCATTTCCTTTAGAATGCGAAATAACACCTCAGTTTGGTCTGCAAGAGTAAACTATATGAGAAACGTCTAGGAAAGAAATTATTCTCTTTCTTACCTCGCCTAGAAAGTGCGCTCAACTCATCGGGATGGATAAGATTTTCCCGAAAGTTCTCAGCAGGACATGATAAAAGCTCATTGGCATCACGAACAAACTCGCACATAAGGGAATTTTCGTTTGCTGTGAACAAGAGGCATAGATCCTGTAAGTTTAGGCTACCCTTAGTTAGACAAAGTAGAAAATAAGTAATAACCATGTCTGAGTCGTTTGTGCCAACACCGGTGATTGCTGAACCAAATTGCACTACGATAGGGCTTAGTATATAGCGCTTCAAAAGTTCTTCAAATCGCTTGCAAAGAGCGGCGCGACGAGATGTCTAAAATATGCGACTCAATGTTTCTTAACGGAGATTTCTGTTTGAAATCATACCTCAGCGTCTGTAGTTCCTATAGCGCATGCTATTCGTTCAATTTGTGTAGAGAACCCTTGGCACATGGGATCTTTGATGTGTTGGATTACCTGTAACGGGGAAACTAGAATTAAGCAAAACGAAAGAAGACATAAACCAGAGTATATTGGACGTGTGCATGGCCGCAATCCTTGAATTCAAATAGACAAGCGATTGACAAAAGATAAAAATAACGCTCACTTTACGAAGATTGAAAGTTTGCGTT